GGAACTCCCCTCCTCAATGCAAGTGCAGACGATGACGAGGTCCCACTGCAGACACACTGAGTCCTATTTTCTAGGCAGGAAGCTACTAAACTTATAGATGTTGTGGAAAAACCAAACAATTTGGCAAGCTTAGATGTGAGGATAGCATGGTCAACGGAATCAAATGCCTTAGAATGATCGAGTAGGGTTAGAAAAGTTAGCTCGTCATTATCAATAGCTTTACGAATATTTTCAATCACGTCAATAAGCGCAGTTATACAATTATGCGATTTTCGAAATCCAGATTGTCGGTTGCATAAAAGAGAATGTTTTGAAACAAATGCGTTTATCTGTTTATAAATTAACAACTCAAATACTTTTGAGAGAAATGGTAGGATAGCAATTGGCCTGAACTCACCCCCTCCTTTAGGAATAGGGATAATTTTAGCATTTTTCCAACATTCAGGAAAAACTGACGTAGTTAAAATTGTGTTAAAACAATGCGTTATATATGGAAGCAGCTTCGGTAATATGGCCTATAGAAAAACAGGATGTATACCGTCGGTCCCGACAGCATCGGATTTGATTGAAATGAAACACTCCAGTACATCGCATTGATCCACACATGAGAAACTAAAATTCAATCCATTACCTAAAGAGCTTGGTATGTCCAGCGGAGAATTAGACAGTGGAAGGTCCGAAAAGCTTACAAATTTATGGTTGATTGCATCGAGGTCTTCCAGAGCAGGTAGCTGTTTTTCTTTGCCTTTTACAAGACCTATCTTTCTAATCTTATTCCATCTTTCTTTGCAACTGATACCCTTTGAAAAACTTTTTTCAAAAAACTTGGCCTTGGCCTGTCGAATCATTTTGCAAACGTCTTTCCTCATAGCCACAAATTGATTATNACTTTGAGTAATTTAATTTAAGTAAACTGGTATTTAATTGGTCTGAAATACCCTCAGAAAACTCCAATTTTTGCGGAGCAGAAAAATATACGTCTGACTTTGTCGGCGAGAAAAAAATTAATATTAAAAACCGGACAATAACCACGCCCACATCCTATATAACGGTAATTATCGGAAATACGAAAACTGCGATATTTTAGTAAATACTGAAGATTATTCACTCAAAATTGATATTTACAACAATTTTTAGACGAAAAATAAGAATATTAGAAATATTTGGAAAATGGGCGTAGCCAAGCCCACTTATGGTTACATGTGTATATCTTGGTAACCGCTGCACCAATTTCTTCCAAACTTGGCACAATTGTTGGCCTTTATACAGCAAACTAAATGGCCGAAAATATTAAAAATCGGACAATAACCACGCCCACATCCTATATAACGGTAATTATCGGAAATACGAAAACTGCGATATTTTAGTAAATACTGAAGATTATTCACTCAAAATTGATATTTACAACAATTTTTAGACGAAAAATAAGAATATTAGAAATATTTGGAAAATGGGCGTAGCCAAGCCCACTTATGGTTACATGTGTATATCTTGGTAACCGCTGCACCAATTTCTTCCAAACTTGGCACAATTGTTGGCCTTGATACAGCATACTACCTGTCCGAAAATTTAAAAAATCGGACAATAACCACGCCCACTTCCCATATAACGGTAATTTAGATACAAAATCTTCGGAAATCGGATTCAAATTACGGCCGCTTTTCATATAACGGTAAATTTCAGAAATGCTTGATACCGCAATATTTCGAAATTTAAGGTCGCTAATTTACTCAAAAATGATACACCTCCGCTTACCATCTAGCGGTAGCTTTCGGAAAGGTGAAAAAACATATATTTAATACTTGCGCCGGGTATTTAATGTTCGGCTCNAAGTAGAAATTCAACAGACACTCCGCTGCTCGATTTTGCTTTCACAAAACACTTCAACGACTCTTTAACAAAANTCGCTAATTTACTCAAAAATGATACACCTCCGCTTACCATCTAGCGGTAGCTTTCGGAAAGGTGAAAAAACATATATTTAATACTTGCGCCGGGTATTTAATGTTCGNTTCAACGACTCTTTAACAAAAATTGCCACTCCTCCGCCGTGCCCCATTCGGTCATGCCTGAAGAGTTTATACCCGTTTACTGCGAATAGATTATCGCTCATGTGTGGAGTGAACCACGTCTCAGATACACACACTATATCGACAAGGGACTTCTCGAAGTAAAACCAAAATTCGTCTATTTTTTTGCATAAGCTCTGGGCATTCATATGACATATATTCAGACCTTTTCGTCTTTTGCACAGCACATTTAGCATAGCGCAGCGAGCAATACTTTGGTTGTTCTCTATAAATACAGTATCAGTCATTAGAGTAATATAAAAAGAATATTAAATAAAATGTATGGACTGAAGTAACGTGAGCACATTTAGTAGCAACAGAGATTTCTAAGTTTGGAGAAAAAAACATAACATTAACAATAAAGAAGTGTTCTATAATAAGCTTAAGCCTAAATTGGTAAACCGCTACGACGTCATGGAGGGCGACGAAANGTATTTATTATATATTTTTGTTATTATTATATATTTGTTATTATTATATATTTTTGAAATAAAAATACTCCACCTTGTACACCAGAAAATTTCTTTAAACCATCTTGCGCAGCAGTTTGTTGATATTATCTTCACGGTTACCGAAATCACCAACCTCAACGTAGTGACTACAGTAAGTTCGAGGCTTTCTTGAAGTGGGATCTAACAGTGAATATTTCGTGCGCCAAATAATCAACGCACGTGCGCTTTGTGCAATTTGCGTTCGATCACAAAGTTGGCAGAGTTTGGGACACGTTGATGATTGTGCTTGACAATTCCACGTTTGTAGATCAATTCACGAACTGATATAAGNATTAAATAAAATGTATGGACTGAAGTAACGTGAGCACATTTAGTAGCAACAGAGATTTCTAAGTTTGGAGAAAAAAACATAACATTAACAATAAAGAAGTGTTCTATAATAAGCTTAAGCCTAAATTGGTAAACCGCTACGACGTCATGGAGGGCGACGAAAGGTAGACACTACGTGTTTATCTAGTTCACTCAGCATTTGCANTAATCCGTAGCATATTAATGGTTGCCTTGTTCAATTCGATGAACAAAGCGTTGTTAATGTGGAGAAGATGGAACCACAGTAAAACTTTACGCACTTTTGGTGCAACTTTGTTGATACCGCAGATAAGGATCACAAAAGCCATTCTGCGGGCACGTAGAATGGGCCGCGTTTCTTTCCCAGACGGCGCAACTTCATCTCACGGCGTCCATCAGGAGATATTTTGCTTGATATTTCTCAGATTCACCAAGTTTTCACGTTTGCGGATTGCAATCACAGCAGAGCGCTTTAGTTTACGCTTGATCAGGGTAGCACGTTTGCTGACCTGCTTCTGGCTGAACTTCAGCTACGACTCGGGGACCGCAGGCAGCTTCCTGGAAGGTCGTTTGCCCTTTGCTTCGGGCTTCTTACCGGCCGTGGTGGCAGTCATCTTAACTTGTAACTTAGCACGTTGAGAAGGCGAAAAAAGGTTCGCCAAAGATTTGGAGCACATCTTAAATAACGCCACTCGATTTATAACATTTCTATTAAACCCAATTTCATTTAATTAAATACTTTTTTAATACATAGATATGCTGCAACCAGGCACTTACTTTCCCAAATTCCATCTTGCATATCGGCATAATTTTCCAAATGTGCCTGCGCTGCTACTTCATACTAATAACTTCATTTTCCAACTGCGCCTTCTTTGTTGCCTCAACATATCCTAAAAAGACATAAAATTTACATTAAACAATAGAAATCGAAAAAATTAGTAAATAAAATACTCCCTTAATTTTGTTTTTTGTCAAATTTCTGGGAAATGTGAATTCACCACGATGCAATACAGAAAGAACAAGGACCAGGGATGTAATTTTAAGTAAAACTATTATTCAGTGGCAATGCGCAGAGCGTTCCGAGTAGCAAAATTAACTTGTATCAAATATAACATTAAACGGTGGTTATAATACATTTTTTAATATTATTAATCAGAGTACATACATTATATGGTATTTCATTCAAAAATTAATGCACTATATGCATATTTTTTTAATATTTCTTAAGTTTCTTTCATTAGTGCTGAAAAGAAACCATGCGTGTAAGAAATTGTGTGCTACCTAAAATTTCACCCCTGGAAACTTTATCCCCATAAAGGACTTCACCACAGTTTTTTTTACTGGATATACTGAGCTTTAAGTATCGCTCCCACTCCACTCCCGGAGTAATTTTTGATGTGGTAGTAAGCTGCGGCTTGCAAGCTACATAGGGGCTCAGCATGAATGCATCCCTGAATAAGTCTCAGCACATTGCACATCAGCTTACATGGTAAAAGGGATACATCTTTCGTGTAAGAAATTGTGTGCTACCTAAAATTTCACCCCTGGAAACTTTATCCCCATAAAGGACTTCACCACAGTTTTTTTACTGGATATACTGAGCTTTAAGTATCGCTCCCACTCCACTCCCGGAGTAATTTTTGATGTGGTAGTAAGCTGAGGCTTCCAAGCTACATAGGGGCTCAGCATGAATGCATCCCTGAATAAGTCTCAGCTCATTGCACAGCAGCTTACATGGTAAAAGGGTTACATCTTGCGCTACCGCTTCATCAGCCTGCCCGCATGTCCCACTCTTTCTCTCTCTCGGATATCAGGCATATGGAGTGCGTTGTTGACTTGATGTGCACCTATAAACCATATGGGCTCATTGAGTTCGATACATAAATACTCGCCACAAAGGTAATTTCTACCTCCTCTACTCCTCTAACTCGATTACAACTCTAAACCTGGCCTCCCCCGCTCCCTCAGCTAAAGGGGTATATTTTTTCGGTATAGAAGAATCCTAGGGGTGAGAGCATAAATATTCCGACTTACGTTTTCACATGCATTTTTGGACCACCCCATTGTACATGCAAGAAAAGTAGGGAAAGTGAAATCGTATTGCATCACGCTAATCGTTGACGGGTGCGGACGTGCTTTTACTTAGCTCTGTCGTTATCAGTTTTCTTACGATGTCTTTGTGTGGTATTTGCGGTGCGCAGTGTGTAGGAGGTGATGCTGTTGCTTGCGGTCTTTGTTTACACAATTTCCATATTAAATGTGTTAAACTAAACTCGGCATGTTTAAAACTTTTGAAATCCAACAAAAACCTACTATTCAAATGTGACACTTGCTGTTCTGTTTATAATTCGTCTTGCTTAGCAAAGTTTGAAAATGCTTTCCGCGCAGTAAAGGAGTTTCAAGACGATTTATGTGGTGAAAAAATCACCCTTAATAATGAAAATGCATCGTCATCTAATCAAGTTGGCATAATTGCTGCTAGCAACAATAACAATGCCAGTAATAGTGATGCTTCAAATAAAAGAATTTTGCGTTCAAAAGCAAATTCAAATAAGGTCGCTGACCTCGTTGGATTGACAGTGGGCACGAGTTCTTCTGCTTCTAGTAGTGCAGAATCGGCTAATGGTGTTGTTGCTGAACTCGCTACTGAGCTTAATGCAAATTTCTCTGCTGTGAGTGATGCTGACCATAACAATTGCGCTTCGCCTGCAATTCAACGCAGCATTGGAGAGGAGAGTGGTTCTAATGTTATTGCTCAGACAGCAGTTAGTGGTTCTCTTAACCTACCTGCTGTCTCTTCTGTGGTTGTGTCCGATAACCTGTCAGCTTCGGGTAATGCTAATGCTGTGCTTTCTCAACAACAAGTAAATAATGAAAGCGAATGTGAAGATAATACTGTGTGGACGAAAGTAAACAACAAACGGCGTAATAACAATGTGGTTGTTGTTGGGTCTAATGTTAGCACGGAGTTGTGTGTAGCTGATCGTATGAAGTGGGCGCATTTGTCGTCATTCGACCCTAAAGTCACTGCTGATGACATTATCAATTATGTGTGTAAACATGTAAAAATTGAGAGAAAGGCTATCTCTTGCTATGCATTAATTAAAAAAGATGACCCAGCAGAAAATCGTACACATGTTAACTTCAGGTTGGGTGTTCTATCTGCCGAGTTTCCTAGTATTCTCGATGCGAAAATTTGGCCTTTGAATGTAAAGGTAAAACCTTTTAATTTTTTTCGGAAAAGGGGAGGTCGAACCCAAAGGTCTTAACTGCTATGAATGGAAATGCTTTTCCGGAATCTAGTGCTGAGCTAAAAATCTACTACCTAAACATTTCTGGCTTAAGAACAAAATCGAAGACAGTATTTCAATTTAGTTCTCAAGAGGTTTATGACGTGCTGGTGATTGTCGAGACTTGGCTTAAATCGGATTTATATGATAGCGAGTTTTTCGATCCTAATTTATACAATGTGTTCCGTAAGGATCGGGATTCCATGAAAACTGGCTGTTCAAGAGGAGGTGGTGTTCTAATTGCAGTTCGACGTAAATTCCGTGCAACAATGGTTGACCTTGGAAATGATGACACCTTGCTCGACCAAGTTTGCGTTCGAATCAAAGGAATGAAATCTCGAAATTTTCTATATGTATTTGCTTCATATATTCCACCAAATAGTAACTTTGAGTTATACAAAGCGCATGTAGATAATGTAATTGGGCTATCCCTTGATCTTAAAAATGACCATATTTGTGTTCTGGGTGATTTTAATCTCAGTGACATAGTTTGGTGTAGTAAGTCTGATAACGCGCTTCTTTTTCCAAGTAACATTACCGTTGAGCGTGAGTCTTACTGTATTGACAATTTCCTCAGTGTAAATCTCATTCAAGTAAACTTTATTTTTAATGATTTAAATAGATTATTAGATCTTATATACATCAGTGATAATGTTGATTTTTGTATATCTAAATGCAGTTCGCCGATTTCCGAAGCTACTATGCACCATGTGCCTTTAGAAATCGGGCTAAAATTTTATGTTTTTTCGGAAATCGTGGCTGATGTAAGTAGTGACTTCGATTATGCGTCTTGTGATTTTCCAGCTCTTAATAAGTCGATTTCTGAAATTAATTGGGATGAACTTCTTTTGGACTCGGAGGTTCATAGCTGCTATTCAACTTTTAAATTAAAAGTTAATGAATTCTGTTTAAATAACATACCTATAAAACGAAAGCGATCTTATAAGTCACCTTGGTATAATAGAGCTTTAATGAATTTAAAAAACATTAAAAACAAATACCTTAAGAAGTTCAAATCAACTAGAATCCAAGCATTCTTTGTAAAATTTCAGCAATGTCAGAAAGAGTTTAAGTCATTAAATAATCTTCTGTACACAAAGTATATAAGGAGTACTGAGCGTAATATCAAAGCTAACCCGAAATCTTTCTGGGGCTTCGTAAAATCGAAAAAAGTTTCTAGTATACCTAGTTCATTATTTTTAGATAACAAGTCGGCTAATACTCCTGTTGAGGCCGCTAATCTTTTTGCGGAATATTTTGTCTCTAATTTTGTTGAAGACGATGTGATTTCTCCTGACTTTTCATCTGAAATACCCCCTTCTATTAATCTAGGGACTTTGCATATATCCTCTGATGAAGTTTCAAGGGCGATGCTTTCTCTCAATACTTCGCCAAAATCGGACGTAGACGGCCTATCAGCTCTTTTTTTAAGAGCCTGCCCAGCGTTGTCATATCCTTTACACTTGATTTTCAACAAATCCCTTTCTTCCGGTATTTTTATTAATGAGTGGAAGATAACAACAATTACGCCACTTTTCAAAAATGGTAGTAAAAGTAATGTTCGTAATTATAGGCCAATTGCAAAACTATCAAATATTTCGAAGCTGTTTGAAAGTGTTGTTAAGGACAAAATCTATTTCGCTGTAAAATCATTACTAAGCCCATACCAACATGGATTTATTTCTGGGCGCTCGACAGTCTCTAACTTAATGGTATTTAGCGATTTTTGCACCTCAGCGTTTTCGATTGGCTCGCAAGTGGATTGCATATATACTGACTTCTCTAAGGCGTTTGACAGAGTCTCCCACAGGATTCTGATCAGTAAGTTAGCTTGCCTTGGCTTCCATTCATCCGTTTTGCAATGGATAACGTCATATCTATCCAATCGTCGTTGTGCTGTCTCAATTGATTCCTCAACTTCGGACTTTTTTGTTGCCCCTTCTGGGGTTCCTCAAGGTAGCATTTTAGGCCCTCTACTTTTTGTTCTTTTTATAAATGACATTGGAAGTTGTTTTACCTTTTCAAATTATCTTCTTTTTGCTGATGATTTGAAAATTTTTACGATGGTTAACAATATGGAAGACTCAAGTAAGCTTCAAAGTGATTTGAACAGTCTTCATTTGTGGTGTGAAAAGTCGCGGCTGTCGTTGAACATTGCTAAGTGTTTTCACTTAACTTATACTAGGCGTCTTAATGCTACATCTACCCTTTATTTTATTGATAACTGTGTTTTAAACAAAGTTTCAGAGACTAAAGATCTTGGAGTGGTTTTCGAGTCAAAGTTTTCATTTAATAATCACATAAATTTCATTCTTTCAAAGGCTTATTCGGTATTGGGATTTATTCGACGTAGTTCCACTGATTTTTCTGATCCATACACTTTTAAGCTTCTTTTTACTTCTCTTGTACGCTCCAATTTAGAATATGCAGTAATTATCTGGAGACCCTATGATCAACAATCGATAAATAGGATCGAACGGGTTCAAAAGATATTTCTAAAGCATGCATTGCGTTCTTTACGGTTCGAGGATCCAATGCCACCGTACCAATCTCGGCTATTGCTTATTGATCTATGTTCTCTAGAGAAAAGAAGGTCCATTCTAGCGCTCTCGTTTATTTTCAATATAGTTAATGGCAATGTCGATTGTCCAACTCTTCTAGAGCGAATAAATTTTAACGTTCCGCAAAGAAATCTGCGAAGCTTTCTTCCTTTTTACGTTGCTAGTTGCAGAACTAATTTTGAAAGTAATGCACCTATTACGCGTGCCTTAAAAGAATTTAATGACTTATCTTCTTTTAAATTAATTGATTTTTCCTTATCAAGATCTAATTTTGTGTTGATCTTAAATTCTATTATTTGATAAGTATGTATTAAATATAATTATTATTGTTTCTTTAGTCTGTAAGGTACTCTGTACTGTAGATTGAAAAATAAATAAATAAATAAATAAATAATGCGCTAGAAAGGAAGGCACGCAAACTACAGAATATTTTTTAATGGCCAATTTCAGGTGAAAATTTAAACAGCACTTACATAAGTTGAATTTCGGATTATTATTTAAATGCTATTTAGCTAGGTTAAGTTTCAGATCATCTTTGCTTAATTATGCCAAATAACTGGCATCACTGTTGCCTTTTCCTTGAAATTGTTGTTGCATTTGTTTGTTTGTTTACATTTTGTGCTGAACGGTTGATTGTTGTTTGGTACAAACACAGGGTTGCATATCTTATATATAAATAGGCAGTATTGGCCATTTAAGTGTAGATTAAATATAGTTTTTATTAGAGTTAAGCACTTAAGTTATTTTAAGTGAACCGTTCAGTTCTAGTTCGTTCACCTCAGAGAACTAGTTCTTTAGTTCGTGAACTTCATTTAGCTCAATTGACGATTTTTTTAAACAAAGTTTAATTATTTTTACTATCATATATTCTACATACAAGCCAAAACTTACATATTGCTTTGCAATAACATTTAATTAGGTATAAAGCTTGTTTGATTTTAAAATCTACGTTAGTTTAATATTTGCGAAAAAACTCATTAGCAAGGAACTGGAGTAGCAACAATGCAAAAGCGTTTTAAAACGTATCTGTAAAGATAGGGATACACGACATAGGTTCGTGCCAAGAATATTTGGATCGCTATCCAAAATGAGAAATAGTAGAACTGACAAATTTAGTTCAGTGAAGAGACCGAACTAGCGAACGAGTTCATTGTGATGAACCAGTACTTTAATTCATTTAGTTCAAGAACTATCCAAGCCTAGTATTTATATGATTCTAAAATTAATTTTTGAAGTTAATAACAATCTATATTTAATATAGCTCATCTGAAATTTGACCTAAGAGTGGTTACGGTGATCGCCTCACGTTCACAAATATACATTTATACTAATGCAAACAAATGTTCCTTTTACTCCCTTTGATTGAGGAATAAAAACACATTAGGGGTATTCTCGATCCGGTGCATACTGTCTAGCATGGTGCATAGATAGCATAAATAGCATGATTGGATAATTTTTATGTGTTCAAACAACAACAAAATTAGCCAATCATGCTGTGTATGCTATCTATGCCTCATGCTAGACAGTATGCAACGGATCGAGAATACCCCTATTGTGAAGATACGTTGCTATCAATATAGAAGGATTACATATCTGCATACATGCACACATATTTACATTATGGTGATCCAAAATAACTAACCTAACGAATTTATGGCCTTAAAAGGACCTTTTCACCGAGAAGAAAATCCTTCCATTTGGAAAAATTTGCATTCCAATTTTTAAAGGTGTAGGGGGGTATTTGGAATTTTCCATGTAAATAACATGTAAAGAAAATTGTTTTTATTAAAAATGTTACAACTATTGAACCGCAGGGCATTAAATTCTCAAAAAAATGGCCCTGAAGTTGGTTGTCTTTAAGACGATTAAGATTTTAATGATATTGCTGAACGAGGTATAGCGTTAATACAAAATTGTAATTGAACGTTCACGAAAGACGAAGAACAAAATCGATTTCTTTCTTTTTATACCCGAGCGCACTTGTGCACAAGGGTATATTAATTTTGTTCACATAACGGCTGTTTGTAACAGCCAAAACGAATCGAGATAGATATAGACAAATGTATACATAAATGCTCAGAATGAATAGAGAAATCGATTAAGCCATGTCTGTCTGTCTGTCCGTATGTCCGTCCGTCGTGTACACGATAACTCGAGCAAAAATTGAGATATCTCAACGAAATTTGGTATGTAGGTTTCCGTTAATCCAAGGTAGGTTGGTATTGAAAATGGGCGAAATCGGACTTTAACCACGCCCACTTCCCATATAACGGTAATTTCCAGAAATACGAAAACTTCGATAACTACTGAACTACTGAAGATAATTCCCTCAAAATTGACATTTATAATAATTTTTAG